TTTGGAAAAAAATAGGGTTCCGTAAAATATGTAGTACACGCGCGCGAAGCCGCGGGCGGAAAGCAAGTAGTAAATAAAAAAAAGCGCTGGACAAACTACTGTTTTTGACATTCGTAAATATTCATGCCGTGAAACGCCATTTATTAACATGAAACGATATGGGTAAAACGAGGGGTCCACGCATACGAAGTCGCGGGCGGCCGCTAGTTACATAATATCACATCATAATATTTCAGTCACACGTTTTAAATTAAAATAAAAAACATTTTCAAAATATTCAGTTTGTGCTCTCGTCGTATACACGACGCTATTAATGGAATACTCGGCAACTCATAAGCAGTCATACGACTAAAATAAATACACAATAGGTATCAGAGTAACATATTTTATATAGAAAGAAGTTTTCCATAATTTTATATTACATAGTAGGGGGAATTGGTTAACTCTATTCATGAGACGTTGCGTTGGTTAAAAAAACATTTTATTCTTGACTGTACAAAATCCGTCATAAAACGAATCTGTCATAAAGAGAATCTGTCGTAAACCTAATCTGTCCTAAACAGAATCTGTCCTTAACCGAATAAAGGATCTCAATTGCATCAAAAGCTCCAAACAAATCATTTAATCCATTTTGCCGATTAAGCGTGATTGACAATATGCGTGACAGTTGTGGTGACAGTGACAACCTGCACGCGCAGTGATCGCCATCGAGGTCGCGGCAGTGTGAAACAACTTTTGCACGCGCAGTGGTCGCCATCGCCATCGCCATCGCTGCACGCGTTGGTTTGTCCGAACCTTTAGAAATTCACCTAACTCCCGTTCCCGTGAGAATTTTGCAATATCTTGTTGTAACTAAGCTTTAAGTTTACTAAGATACTTGCATGCCAAATTTCAAGAGTCTATCTTACGCGGTTAAGATTTTTTCATACAAATGTTTTTTCCCACTAACTCCCGTTCCCGTGGGAATTTTGCAATATCCTGTTGTAACTAAGCTTTAAGTTTACTAAGGTACCTGCATGCCAAATTTCAAGCGTCTAACTTAAGCGGTTTAGATTTTTCATACAAAAGGATTTTCCCGCTAATTCCCGTCCTCGTGGGAATTCCTGAGTATCCTATAACCTGCCCAGGAGTATGAAGAATAATTGTACCAAGTTTCATTAAAATCCGTGGAGTAGTTTTTGTTTCTATAAGGAACATACAGACAGACAGACAGACAGACAAAAATTTTACTGATTGCATTTTTGGCATCAGTATGGATCACTAATCACCCCCTGATAGTTATTTTGAAAATATATTTCATGTACAGAATTGACCTCTCTACAGATTTATTATAAGTATATTAAGTAATTAACCAATATTTGTTACTAACAAAAGAAATAGTAAGATGGAGGTAAGTAGGAAGTACTTTATGTTGTAACACATACTCGTAACTACAACTTAAGATAAAGTTAAAACTTAAAAGTGAAACAGAAAATAAAAGCTACACAAGTGTTTCGAAAGAGCAGTAAAATGCTTGAAACGTTAAAAGATTATCTTTTCAAATGTTGCTGTACTAGAGACTGGAAATACCCCGATATTTTGTACTCTTTCAGAGAGTTCTAGCTTTGGAAAGTCCCTCTTGAGGAAATTGATTTCATTATGTTACATACTTACTTGATGGGCAATCTTTAGATGTTACACCACACATAAATGAAAATACCTAATATTGTACACATGCTTTGGACAAATTATACAATGTATCTTTATCTCTACACGTTGCTACTTATGAGCAATTTTTTATGTTCTACTGTTTTTTTTTGTTTCATATGATACGTTTTTATTGGATGGGAATATTTGCCAAGTGCCTTTTGTTAATTAGTCGTTTAATGCCTGTTTTCACCATAAATCCCTAATTTAAAGTGACCCCTATGAAAACAAAATTCCTGGTATGTGTTACCATATAGGGGTCACTTTAAAATTAGGGATTGATGGTGAAAACGGGCATAAGTTCCCAAAAAATATAATTTCTCTTTATACAAAAACAAGAGAAAGAGATGACCAGGCCGAATCCTAAACTAAAAACCTCAATCAAATTAAAATATCAAAATATATACTCATATACTAGAAAGTAACGTAACTAACTAACGAAAACCGTACCTAACAACAATTCAAATGATAAAAAAACTTGGAAACATGTAACACAATATCAAATAAACATTTTAAAAGTTTAACAGAGCAGTGAAATGCTTTTTAAAATGATGATCCGTTCGAGTGTTGCCATACTCGAGTCGAAAATATCCGTGGAAAAGTCACTGCAAAGGAAATCGATTTTGAGACGGGAAATCTTTCCCTGCTACATTCTTGCTGTTACTTTTGAAATAAGTGTAAACATTTTACTTGAAGTTAAAAGGGAAATAAATATTGTTTTAAACGGCTACCGTTTTTACCCGACTGTGTCTGGAGGGTTATGTTTGTCTTAAACAGTTAGCATCGATGGCTAGTAAGTTTCTGTCACCAGACTTGACAATCTAAAATTAATAATTTATATTCCTTTCCTTTCTAAGTAAATATTTTTGACTTCCCTAGAGTGTAAAAAAACTCTAGAGAATAAAGAAAGAGAGATATTCTGTTTAAACTACATAACTGAAATAAAGGAATTTTGCAATTTGAAGTTAATGAGATTGGAAACAAATCGCTATCAGAATACACCATTCCATTACACCCAATTTACAAAACCGTAAGTCACCACTCAATCTAACCTCAAAGTTTAAACGAATCAGTGCATTACGTCATAGATCATGGAACCGCCCACTGCGAGCCATTTATCACTCAATTTGAGAGCTCTACGTAATCTATGGTTAGATAGTACACCCCTGTATCAGTACACAACCTCCCGACTCTACGTCAGTACAACCCCTAGTTGGCGGGAGAACGCACGTCTTGCTCCCCAAAAGAGCGGGAAACCGCGAACTCGGATTCGTAACTCGAAAAAATAACTGGCAGGTTGAATAAAAAATAATAATGTGGCAGGAAAAGTGTTAAATGGATTCTAATTTCAAATGTGGACGCGCGATTCGATTTTGTTTTGACTGACTTTGTGTTGCGAAAATGGATTTGAAGTTTTGGAAGTGTCTGCTGTTTTTGTTTTGTTTTGGTAAGTTGTTACAAATTGTTATAACATCGTTAATTACTAATCAATACTTGGAAAATAATATATCTTACACATATTTCATCATTTTAATTACAATTCATTAAGGTTTTTTACTTTTCCTTTGCCGGTGGTTTTTCTAAAGTTGTGCGTTACATCATGTAAAAAATAATTCGGGCAAAACAGGTAAAATTGTAATATCGTCTAATTCAAAATTAAACATTATTCAATCTAGAATTTATTTGAAAACTATGAAAGTATGAAGATTTCACAAAGTAAGTACAAACTTACTAAAACTAGCGTAAGTATCAGTAAAGGTAAATCTCTTTCAAGTCAATAACTATTAGATAATCATGCAAAATAACTTATAACATCGAAATTAATGACATAAAACGATAGTAACAATGCTTTATTCATCTAAAAGTGACCTTCCCTTTGATGCCGAATAATCCGATACAATAAATAAAGTTAGTCCGGTCCTTTTATATCTCCGAATTCCCTGGACAGTCGACTTCTATTCTTATTATTGGCTTAGTGAACTATTTTCGTATGTAATACACTCAACGTCAAATAAATTGCACCTCCCGCGACAATAACTTTAAAGATTTTCTTCAGACACAATCATGGTGCCCCACCAATATTGTTGTTAGAAAGCCCAATCTATATCTAATATTATAAAGAGGAAAGATTTGTACCTATTTTTGTATGTTTGTATGTTTGTAATGAATAGGCTCAAAAACCACTGAACGGATATTGATGAAACTTTACAGTATTATTGTTCATAATCCAGAATAACATATAGGCTATAATTTATGACGATCTGTGACAAACGAAATTTCACGCGTGCGAAGCCGCGGGCGGAATGCTAGTAATAAATAAACTTGAAGAAAAACACATTTTTTTTTTATAAACAATTAACAGGTGACTTGAAAAAAGCCCACCTCTGGGACCAATTAGAGCAATTTTTGTGGTTCAAAACCAAATAATGTTCTCACTTGTCCTCTTTAACAGATAGTTAACGATTTATAACCATAAAAGTTCGTAACTACCTGTCGCTATTTTGAGGTAAAATAAAAACCTCTCCCTTAATGAAATGAAGTTTAGAACTAAGCTTTGAAACGGAACCAATATTGGTGGAAAGTGGGGTTACGTTTGAATTTTCTTGTCGCGGGAGGTGCGATTTATTTGACGCCAAGTGTAGTTATACCTAGTAGAAAATAATACTATGTCCTATTATTAATTTCTACGTCCATGACTTCGCCCACGGGGTTTTTGGCCTAATTCGAAGTTATTTTTATCGGCCCCTATCAATATTACCTTTTAATTTTCTCACCGACGACATCATAAAGGTAGACATCATCAGGAAGGCGCTGGACGCAGGCCGCTACCAATCAATGAACATGGAAATCATTGGGGAAGGCCTATGTTCAGCAGTGGACGTTTTATGGCTAAAATGATGATGATGATGATGATTTCTCACACAAAAGTTTCATCTTTGTTAACCTTTTATGAACTTATTAACAGCGCAAAAAAAATTATCTATATTTACTTACTAATATTATAGCTGAAGAGTTTGTTTGTTTGGTTGAACGCGCTAATCTTAGGAACTACTGGTTCGATTTGAAAAAATATTTTTGTGTTGAATAGTCCATTACAGTAGAGGAAGGCAATATTCTAATACTATTAAGTACGACTAATAAGAGCAGAGCATCAATGAAAAATGGAAAGCGGGAAAATTATTCCCATTTTTAAACTATTAAGTTAAAAAACCAATGCTAGAGTCACTGTCTAACATAATATACTTACAACGGACTTGAAGATAAATTCTTACGTAGCCTAGGGGTGTACTAAACTTGGAGAACGAGGGTAGAATGTTATTTGGGGAGTCCAAGTTTCAATCAATTCAATCAATATTTTCTATGACATAAATATATTAATGATAAATAAATAATAGGGGAGCGGACACTTCATAAATAATTATTTTAAAACGCACATTTCATAGATATGAGTCAAAAATAATTTGATTCATTAGGCCAGACGACTTTGAAGGGCGGAACTTACAAATGACGACGAACAAAGTCAAAATGTATGTACATAATATAAACGTGTATAGGTACTTCTGTTCAAATGCTGTAGAAAAACAGCGTTCTGAAAGAGTTAATATAAGTAAGGATTTTCCTACTATCAAATTCCATGTTATGCCGTCATAATATACCATGTATTGTATAAGCCGTTATGGCGTTAAAAGGTGGTCTTTATACCAAATAATATTACCAGCTATATTATTTTATTCCCTTATCCAGAACACAATACCAATATGCCCGAATAAAATCTACTTTACTACCCTATTATCGCCAATGTCCAGTCTATGAAAAGGTGGGGAGCAAGAATAGCGCTAATACCCATTTGTGGGGTTATAAAAGATACACAGAGGGTTGGCGTAAAGGGCTAGTGTTATTACTGCTATTTTTTCGAGCAATAGAAAGAGCTATCGCAATAACTGACTCTGGGTGTAAAGGTTAGGTCGCACTGTAAGAGAGGCGATAGTTACTAAGGCCCGGTCTATGAGCACGTAGAATTTTCAATGACCCCAAGCTACCCATCCTTATCGCTCGCGCGTAATTATTTTGCTGTCGCGACCGTGCGACGGGCGCCCGCAGTGAGTGTGCGAGCGGTAAGGATGGGTAGCTTGGGGTCATTGGAGAATTCTACGTGCTCGCAGACCAGACTATAGAAAAATAAAAACTTTATTGAAACTCTACTTATGTATGAACTCAAGCCTATTTTTTTTGTTGAGCGGCTTTTCTAGTTCAATGAAGCCCTGGACCAATTTTTTTGTAGTTCGCCTCCGTGTCCTTATCTATTACGTAGTGCAGTATCTTTTAGGGTCGATATGTTTTACCATTTAAATCCTGTGGGCTTAAGATGTGTTTGCCCAGGTGAATAAATAAATAATAATAAAGCCTATAATAAAATGCTTAGCAAGCGGTTTGTGCGTTGAAATATTTTGTGCGCTTGCGCATCTCTGCTACAGTGTGTCTCGTAGCTACGGCAAAACTGACAACTCAAAATATTTAAAGTCAATTACTCGGCACTCGGTCAAGTGTTGTCGGTCTATCACACTTTTTTACTTTTTTATCACTCACCTTTTCACACTTCAATCACTGCACCGATTTTGGTACAACAAAATTCACGCGGGCGAACCCCTAACTGGACTATTTCCACCTCTCGTTCCCACCACTGCAACTAATGTGTAGCCAGGATCTACAGCTTGACCGCCACAAAAACCCAACCAATGAAGGTCAAGTTTGTCCCGGGGGAAAGTTAAAGTCATTGGACCCGCAACGAAATTAATCAGAACATAGGAGGAGTTCGAAATTGAGGTTCGACTTCCCTACATTGCAAAGCGGATGACAGATGACAAACAAAGGTTTAAAACCTTTAAGAAAATATGAACCGATGATGAAGGGCGAACCCCTAGCTACATTTAGCTTTTAGTAAAGTATATCTTTTCTCACAGTGTAGTACTAGCTTTATACCCAGCCCTCAATCCGCGCAAATGACATCGCCTCGCTGACGCGGCGAGAACGCGTACGCAATCATGGTCAACTACGGTACTGGGAAATTTTCAAGAGTGCGTAGTGGCCAGTTTTGAAAAAATACTCTATGGGTTAGGGACCCATTTTTTTACTATAGTCTGGTCGCCGAGCACGTAGAATTATGTCCAATGACCCCAAGCTACCCATCCTTATCGCTCGTGCGTAATTATATTATTGTCGCGCTCGCACACGCACTGCTGCCGCCCGTCGCACAGTCGCGACAGCAATATAATTAGAACGATAAGGATATGTAGCTTGGGGTCATTGGACAAAATTATACGTGCTCGGCGACCAGACTTTAAATAAGTTTCCTCCGAATAATATACTCGGCTACGTATCTAAGCTCCATTTGCTATGGTGAACCAGTTTGGGCTGACGAAGCTACTATAGGAGCCGCTCGATGGAAACTACCAACGTCAACGCCTTACACTGATTTTTCTTTGCAAAGCTTACAGAACTATGAGCACGGAACCTCTGGTGTACTGCCGGTCGACTTAGAGGTACAAAAGCGTGCGGCTAATGCTATGTACTTCGCATCAAGGGAAAGTATAACTGCACCGATTTCTTAAATAGCCGCGGTCGTTCTAAAATAAGCCGACTATTAATTGATTCCAGACAAGGCAAAAAAGATGGGATACGTCAGTCAAACGGCGTAATTTATACAGGGTTTCCACCCTGTATAAATTAACCACCACGATGAGTGACTCACTCGATTATTTCTAAACTATACGATATCGAAAAACTGGTTACTGATCCTGAAAGTACTTCACGAGTCTTTCAAACGGTATCAGTAATAGGTTACAGAATTAACTGGATCTATCGGAAAATTCAATGTTTTCAGCTTCCATACATTTAGTAAAACCACATACCTACCTAATTATTTAAAACTATACAACATATCCAAAAAATATAATTTCCGTTTGCGGTTCTGCAAACGGACGACAAACGTGCGTCTCAAAACGTCTAATTAATTTGAAAGAGCTTCATTTGGCAATTCTGCGAACTTTGGGCTTTTCAATATACGAAACAATTACTTTATTTGACAACAAAAACATGGCAACCACGTATTAACAAAGCAGTCTCAAATTCTCCCAACTTAAATTGGGGGGCCTCAAAGTTAATAAGATTGGGTAAACAAATAACACAAGCTCCTAATATTCCACTGCATGTGGAGTTTAATTACGCTTAAGATGTCTCAAAGACAAATATAAAACTTGAGACTGAAGTCAGACATAGACCAAATGGAAGAAACAACCTTTGGACGAATAAATAAAATAAAGTTTCGCTTTCGCACTATCATTAATTCGGACCGCGAGCGGTGTGAATCGTGTAAGTGCTCTTTTTGAAATGAAACTTAGGGGTAAATAAAAAGACCAAAGTGAATATTTTGAAGTAAATGTCTTGGCCAACTTAACGTTCATGCATTTTATCAGACAAGTTCTTGTTTATAAATCTAGGATTAAAAGTCAAAGTACTTTTAATCCTATATTTATAAACAAGTTTTCTCTACCAGTATTAATCGTATTTATCCACCAAAAACATGTTCATGTAAAATCCCTATTGTCACATGATTGTAAGGTGAAACATTTAATCATCGTTCATTAGGTACTTATACTAGTTCTTGTAGCAACGAAATGGCCAAGCCTAAGTTAACTTTGACTAAGGTGTGGTGTAAAGTCGTCGTCACCTTAAGGACATAAAACAGCAATAGTTTCTTTCCCTTGAACTTCACAACCTTAACAAAAAAAATCTTAAATGGTGTGGCTGTTTTTACACAGGCTGTGGCAAATATGACTTACGCTGAAGAATATAGACCGTAAGCGTCGTAATTGCTCAAGTTCGAGTCCTGAAAGTTTTAACGACGTCGCCAAGTCGCGAAGTCTCCAACAATATTACTTAGCGTTTCTTCACAGATATGAACGGCACTTTGTATCTTCATAGGCACTTTTGTGAAGTTGCTTTTCTTGTCTGCTTTTGGGGTGTTTTTGGGGTTTTTCACTTGAAGGATGACAAAGGAACCCTATTAAAGTGTATTATGAAATCGAATAGACCTTGACAGATTTTATTAGATTTTTATTATAATAATAATCATCAGATAATTTATTCTTCACTACGGTAGAACGACCTCTACCTGATTCATCAAAGGGAAATAGAGGATTTGTATTACATTCCTCATATGGGTTGGGGAAGCCTGATTTTCTCATATTTGTCCTTTTAAGACGTGGTTCTGGTCATATTACGGTGGTTTAAATCTACATACGAGTATTTTCATGAAGAGACACCATCTTTTTTTAAGCCGTGGGGTACGAATGAGTACGAAGTTATGTATTTTTGTATACGACGTTTAGTAGGTACTCAAAATTCGAGCTTGTACATAATATTTAGATATTCAATTTAAAAATATTGCCGTAGCCCGTAACTGTAATAGTAATTGAACGCTCAACCGAACACAAAACAATAACGCCCTAGGGAACCGTGTTTGTTCCGGATACAGCACAAATATTGTTTTAACGTAATACCCAACGTAATTATTGTTTCAACTACAAGGGCTGTCGGGATTTTGACACCGTTATGGGATAAATTTAAATAAAATACTACCATTACTTCCATTAATTCTGTTAAAGATTGTTGATGCATTGAAGTAGATTGGACCAAGGAATCACTTTGTTCCATACAAACTTAGTCCCCTAGGGGTAGAATTTCGGAAAATCCATTCTTATCAGATGTCTACGCTACGTCATATAAATAACACACGGGTTCCAAGTTTCAGGTCTCTACAATCAGCGGTTTAGGCTGTGCGTTGATCTATCAGTCAGTCATAATTCAGGACATAGTATTGTAATGTCAGTCGGCGTCAGACAAATCTCTCTCGGGCCGTATAGCGTCTAGATTTCCACAGTTCATATAGGTTTATACTGTAATTACATAAACATTACATAAACATTAGGTACGAGTAAACATAGTGCTAACATAATTACAATAACAGAGCTGGATACTCGCAAACATTTTGTTAACTCAATTAAGGCGGATAGGGATGTCACACACAGGCTTGTGACGTCACAACCGGACGCTGGCATACCGGTTGTAATGTGTGTATGATTTGGTTTAGTTTTGGGATAAAATATTTATTGAAACTTACGCCCGTATTCACAAACGATGCTTGCTTAACTGAAGCAGCAAATCGTGTGTCACCCTGTGCGTCCACGCGCACTGTGAGACTTCGTAGTAATGTTTGTGAATACGGGCGATAGTCTTTCATTATAGGGTGCGGATTTTAATACTAGTGTATGATTAATGTAATTTATAATAACATATTTGAAAGACATACATACATTATAATATGGTATTATAAGAATACAAAATCATTGCAGATAATGGACTTGGACACAGTTAAAACATTTTTATAAAACTCAAAATCTAAGTAAGAAAATGGTAAGAAGTTAATAGCGTTGAGCGAGTGATTCTATATTTCATTCCCCTAGGAAAATTTTGAAAGCTTTATGTAAATAGCACTGAAGTTATTATAAAGGCAAGCTTAATAGTAACATAATTAAAATAACAGTGTTCTATACATTTTGTTGATTAAATTAACGTGGCTAGGGTTGTCAGTTAGGTGGAAATGACGTCACAACCGCATGCTTGCCAATATTTCCGGATATTATTGTGTTTAGATTATAGATTTCTAAAAATAACCTAACTAATAAAAAAATTTAAAAGTAAATTATTTAATAAAGAAGTTAAGACTTCTAGATATTCTTCAAATATTTTTGTCGTTTTTACATGAGAGTCTTTTAAAAGCTCTTGGGAGTTTTGTATTTAAGTAGCTAAACGTAAGAGAGCAAACGAAGCAAACGAAGTTTCAATACCCACTCGATTCGATAAAATTAGTCTTAATAAAGTCTTGAAGAATTTATCCAATGTGGCAACCCTACAGTTAAATCATTGATTTGCTGATTAAGCTAGAGCTTGCAGTGGATATTAGTACATCCGGTTCCGGGAAACCTGGTAATGTTGGATTTGATAAATAATATTTGAATGCGAATACCAATTAGAATTAGGAAATTAACGGATTACAACAGATATGGGTTCGAATCCCATCGGAGGAAGATTTTAGACTTAGAAGTATAATGTAGGTTGTGTAACAAGACGCTTTCAGTGTGTTTGAAACAATCAAATCAAATTGTCTATTTATGAAAGTGGGGTCCCAAAGACCACTTTTACCCAAGTCTGTCGCCATAACAACAATGTTAACAGCAATAAAGAGGTAAAACAGCCAATTCCTCTGTGGTTGTGGATTCACCTTCGGCTTGTACTACGCAATTTATTATTTCATCTTCTGTATACTTACGCATTCACAAACATAACTATGAGGTCTCACAGTGCGTGTGGACGCACAGGGTCACTCTCGAACCAATCTCAGAGCTCTATTCAACGCTGTGCGTTCGATTTGCTGCTTCACTTAAGCAAGCATCGTTTGTGAATACTGGTGTTACTTGCTCTGAATCGTAAGTTTTAAATGTTTTTACCCGACTGCACCAGACGGAGTGTTATTGAACTAGGCTATGCTATGTAATATGGAAATATTATCATTGCACGATCAAGGGAAAACGATCACACAGTCGAATTGAGACCTCCTTTTTTGAAGTCGGTTAAAAATAAACTTAGTCCCCCGTTCCCACACTCGACACACCCCCAAAGGCACAAAAGTCTTATCTAGGTTACATCTCGCCTCATTCAGACTTTGTCAAAGCGCTTTCAACTTAACAGGACTCTTTTGAGTCTAAGCAAGTACGGGAATTTGGGGCTTTTTGAGCTTCGCAAGCGCAATTAAAAGGTCTGCCGAATGAGTTATAAGGATGAGTGTCACTTGACACAAATGCTGCTATTTTGGGTTTTTAAAATGCAATGGTGAAAATTATTATGATCTCTAAGCGATATAGAAAGCATTCCAAAGAGTCGTGGCGAGAGCTTATGAACAGTTTTTATCATTATTTTCATTACTAATAATAAATAAATAATAAATATCCTTGGACATTTCACACTACGTCGCTAGTCCCAAACTAAGCAAAGCTTGTACTATGGGTACTAGACAACGGATATAAACATACTTAAATACATTTTATTTTGTAAATACATACATATTATACATAGAAAACACCCAGACCCATCACAGATATTTCAATTTATGCCCGACCGGGAATCGAACTCGGGACCTCTCGGTATAGTAGTCCGTTCTGAACCACCACCAAACGGCCGACTAATTCATACTCATTCATCATAACCCATAGTTGTGCTGACGAGGTACACGGTGGGGTGTTGGATATCATTTCAGAGGGTAGCTCTCCTGGCGATGTGCTTCCATTTCTGACGGTTAGAGGCGTCGCGAGTACACTGGACCATGGTGGACTCAGTAGCCTGTGATCTCAAATTCTCAACCTCTCAAGATCTCAAATTTACCATAGGATAATGGAGGATAAAGTTAGCAGGAAGGCGCTGGATGCAGGCCGCTACCAACCGTGCGATGTGGAAGTCATTGGGGGAGGCCTATGTTCAGCAGTGGACGTCCTGTGGCTGAAATGATGATGATGAATGGAAGATATGACCTACATTCCTCATGGCGGTTTAAGTAGGCCTGATGTTCGGATAATAAAATGTTTGTCCTTTATAATAGTACAGTTCATCTCAGCAATAACATGTTTTATTTATATTGCCCTATTCATGGCCTTAATAATAAGTCTTTTTTGTTTCAGTTGCTATAGTTTCATCGGCCTTTGTGGATCACCAATTCAATTTACTTGGAAGCGGTATCCAGATTTTAAGGTAAGGTTTCAAGTTATTCTTTTGTATATTTCTAAGCTGACTGTTTTGGGGACCTTCAAGAATTTGAATAGTTGATTTGGTACTACCACAGAATAATAATAAGTACTACGTACAGAAGTTTTACTTCGCGAAGGTATTCAAAAAAATGTATGCTCAATGTCATTAACAATATGGTGTAATTTAGCCTGTCTCAAGAGTCAAGCACCATTTTGTTGACAAACGTCAGTGATCGGCACTGCGCCGAAGCTATAAGGCTGACTTCGGTAAAATGATGTGACGTGAGGTGCCAAACTGCGGAAAATGGGGGAGGAAATACACGATTTAGCATGAATTATCATGAATAATATTAACTACTTATTTACCTCTCAGTGTCTTGAGGCAACTTAAAAAAGTACATTCTGTGTTTTTATTATTATTTAGGCAGTTAAATACTGCTCAGTATTTAGTACACCATTTTCTTTATTTTCTTCCATCATACACAAGAATACGCGTGCGTGAGTCAATGTTCGCTCGTATGTGAGGCCTTGTCGAATAGTATCCTGTAGGTGGGCCATCGTGCGTGTTTTGTTTTGGATGTAAACTCGCGGAGATGAACAGGCCTGGTACTACTAGATTTCTTGGTATGATCGAGCGGAGTTTGCTATGACCAAGTAATACCTAGTTATGTAGAGTTACTAAATACTCTAAGTCCCAATAGATTAAGATAATACCAGTAAAAAGATGTTAAGAAAACTTTTTTAGCGAGCGCAATAATGTAATTGTATGTACAAACATAGGTAGGTTTACTATGTAGTAGGTACTGTACCTATTTGGTTTGTTTTTCTCTGAAGTATGCAATTTGGAAAGGAAGGGTAATTTTATGGAAGTTATTACAGATACATAACACTATAATTGAAGCATAATACTTGTTTTGCGACTAAACTGATAGCCTAAATTAATAAATAGTTATGAACAATAATGCATAAAATTAATTGTCCTCTAAAATAGTTATATAACTTTAAAATACAATCACATTTGAGCAATCTGTAAATAAATCCCCTGAATTTACCAATACAATGTGAAATACGATTCAGTAATTAATTAAAATCTCGGTCATACAATATTGACTATGGAACATGGTATTGTAGCCAGTAACTATTGCAATTACGAACGACATACTCTCGTCGAACTATGTGGTTTTGCTAAACTAAATTGGTAAATAATGTGGACTAAACACACTGTCACAGTATAGAGGAATTCAGTAGGTGCATTTATTTTTGGTTCGTTGGTTTCAGCGAATGACAAAGGCCTACCCCAATTATTTCCACAAAGACCGGTCATGCGCCGCCCGCATCCAGGAACCTACCGCGACATTCACCAGATCGTCTGTTATTGAACTGATTTAAATGATATTGAAATCCAGAGAAAAGAGGATACTTCTTATGATATCCTAGTTTTTTAAAGGGGGGAAAATGTGTTCTACGCACGCGATAGTCTTTTTGTGACAGACTGAAAGGTCAATGGGCAAAATGGTCCTACCCGGCTCCAATAGATATGCTTCTTGTGTCATTTGAAAGGTCTTACCAAAGTTACCAAGACGAACTACATTTACTATGGCCACCAGCCTAAGAATGTTGTATTGAGCAGGTCTACTGTTCTTATTTTATTTATTGTTCACGTTGAACTAAAGCCAAACAAGAGGATTATTAAGCGTTCGTAAACTCATCTCTCTCCTTTGATGCAATTACGGTGCAGTTTCGTTTGACAAACTAAAAGCAACGGCCCAATCGCTTGTATTATGTTTCGCTAAGCAAAGTTTGAACCCTAATACAGTCGGCCATCAACACTTCAAACTTTTTCTACAAAATAGCACTAATCCGAACTATAGGCATTTTTTTTATTCACAACGAGGAAGCTCTTGGCCTGTATCTCATCTGATGGTAAGTGACGATCAGGCCGAAGGTGGAAGCGAGCTTCACCCGGAATCCTCAACAACGGAGGAACTGGCTATCCCACCTCTAACTGCCGGAACACAACAATGCTGTTAACATTGTTGTTATGGCGACAGACTTAGGTAAGATGGTGGTAGCTAGCCAGGCGGACTTAGAACAAGCCCTACCACCATCCAAATCGAACAGAAAATCTGCCCCCACTGGGAACCGAACCCGGGACCTCTGCGTCTGAAGCAGGTGGTCTTACCACTAGACCACAGAGGAGGATAATTTCGTCCAACTAAACCAAACGACTTCCACGGCTGGACTAAGGCCTTCCTCAAGGATGTCCACAACGACCGGCCATGCGCTGTCCGCATCCAGCTGTTTCTCACGACCCTCACTAGGTCACCACATCACTGAACAGGAAGCCTGCCTGTACTACGCCTTACGGCCCGTGTAGTCGCCACTTTAGAACTTGTCTGCCCTAAATTGCCATCAATTCCACGAGCTATGTGTCCCGTCCACTGCTACTTAAAATACCAGACCCAAATGGACAACAAAAACGTATCAAGGACGTCCACTGCTGAGGGCTTAGTGTGAGTTTACACAGAGTAGGTAAATACAAATGAGTAGGTCATCTTCATAGAAACGCACCGAGCGCGGTTTGTATGTGAGCGCGCGCAACTCGGGGCAACTCACCGCTAATCCACGCTAAATTTTGTCAGTGTGTGCGTGCGCGCCGCATACGTATTGGCGCGCTCACATACAAAACGCGTTTGGGCGTTTCTATGAAGATGACCTACTCATTTGTATTTACTCTGGTTTACATCAAACGTCTTTACTAGTGTCTGCGTAAAAAAATGACATTAAATGTATGACGGATTGGACAGCGACCCTAGCGGATACTTTCAAGAACTAAAGGATAGTGCCAGGGTCTGGACCAAGTGCTGCCCAGAATCAACCCATAGTGCATTTTGTTCCTCAGATCAATACTAATGTGTAAACCGAAGCGCACTGCAATCTATCCCTGGAGTTAAGAGAAAAAAAGAGTTTTGTTTTGAAATATTTTCATACAAAATATCATCGATGTATACGTACTACGCATAAGATTTCGTGATTTTGGCATTAAATAACACTCGCTATGTTGAACTTAACCATACTGCATCCGTACACCTTACTTTAGTGCGACTTAGACATTCTTTATAAGCGATCTAGCGCTGTTGCAATAGTTTGGTTACTTGACAGAAATCATTATTTCCAAAATGAATCAAGAAGTTTTAGTCCTCTATCCTTGCAAAAAATCAATTCATTGGTGTATTACAATCGATTATTGAAGTTATTGTAAGATAAAACTTCTTGCTCTATTTTGGAAATAATTAATTTCGGTCAACTAACCAAACTACTGCAACAGCGCTTGATCGTTTATAAATAATGTCGAAGTCGTACTAAAGTAAGGTGTACGGATGCAGTATGGTTAAGTTCAACATAACGAGTGTTATTTAATGCCAAAATCGCGAAATCTTATGCGTAGTAGGTATACATCGATGATATTTTGTATGTAAATAATTCCAAACAAAACTCTTTTTTCTCTTAACTCCAGGGATAGATTTCAGTGCGCTCCGGTTTAAAAATTAGTATTGGCCTGAGGAACAAAATGCACTATAGTTTCATTCTGGGCAGCACTTGGTCCAACTTCCATACATGGATTGGCACTGTCCATTTTTATAGATTTTATTGACGCGCTCGCTAGTGACGACGGTTGATGTAAACTCACACTAAGCCCTCTGAACAAGGGCCTCTCCCAATAATTTCCATAATGACTTGGTAGCGGCCTACATCCAGCGCCTTCCTGCTACCTTTATGAGGTCGTCCCCTTGTGGGTACAAAATACCAACATTCCGTTAATTTATCGAAGCTGACTGTAAACAACTACGCAACTTTATTTATTAAAAGTTGTATCCTTAATTAAAACGCGCATGGCAACATTGTTGAACTATGAAACATTCCAGCGAGTAAGTCGCGTTACCGAATAGTTGCAGCGAACTATGCGGCCGTTTGTGGAGCCCGACATAGTACAAATAGGTCAGCCAAGATAATTAAAATTATGCGTGAAAAATAAAACTAATGAAAGATAAAAGTATTTCGCTCGTTCGGTCAGCCAAATGTTGTCGACTGTTGGACAAAGCCCCCCAAGTATTGCCACATCAACAGCGGTCTTGCTTGCGCTTCCCGCACGAAAGTGCTTCCTGCGACCTTTACCAGTTTCTCATTAATTAATTTATTTTCTGTAAACAGGTTTTTTATTAAGCATTAATACTAGTTGTATTACTTAACTCTACTACTGTTTCGTAACAATAAGTAGGCCAGTGCTGAAACTTAATTATACATAAACAGACGTTGATATCTACATCTGCTTTAGATGAAAAACGCATTATTTGTTGCGGAGTGTTGTTATAAAGTAATCAGTTTTTTGGTAGGTACGTTGATTTTGATTCCGAACTAGCTCTTCTATTTACGCTGTGCTCATACTAACCACAAGCAGAATGTTGACGATTCGTCAGCCCAGCATTAAAAACTCATAGCATAAAACGTATAAAGGATTTTTGTGGTATTACACCTCCGAAATACGAATTTAAACATTGAAAATAACAAAACACCTTTTAATTTTCAATGAATAAATCGCTTCAACAAAAAGACGTACCTAAAAGCTTCTTGAAAGTTTCCACAACAACCGGTGCCCCGCAGATCGTCGGTCCACTGAGTGGGAGGCCTGCCTACACAGTCTTCCGGTCAATGGTTGCCGCTCGATAACTTTTCTGCCCCAAAGGTCATCCGTAACAGTATATGCCCGCTCACTGTCACATAAGTTTGGAACTTTTGGGGGTTGTTTAATTTTAATTGATTGTTTTTAAAAGCTAAATTAATTAAAATAAGAAAAATTGGGCAATGGGCATTTTACATTACCTTTCTAGTCCCAAACTAAGCAAAGCTTGTACTGTGGGTACTAAACAACGGATATAAGCAATAAGCATACTTAAATACTTTTTTTGTAAATACATACATATTATTACGTAGCAACACTCACAC